GACCGCGGTTCATGTCCCGGACCCGGTGGCTTAAAACTCACGCCGGGCGCGTGTGCGTGCGCGCCCAAGATCACGAGAGGAGAATGGAGGAGAAGGGATTGCGGCGTGACCATCCCCCCTGGGGGGTGATTTCTCGCTTTCTGTCTCTATGTCTCTCTCTGTCTGTCTGGCGAACGCACGCGCCCTACAGTGAAAATCTCTCTCTCAAAAAAAAAAAAAAAAAGGAAATGAATACTGACTATTGGATACTTAAGACTAACTTAGAGGGTTTCATTTCAGAAGTTTTTTTTTAAAAAAAGAATATGGAAGATAAGTATTAAATAAAAATAACACAAGAGCCAGCCTGTGGCCTAGTGGTTAAGGACGCTGGATCCCTCATGGCTGATGCTATGGCCCGAGTCCTGGGCCTGCACGTGTGCGTGCTCACAATCCTGAAGGGAGGAGGGGGAGGGGGAGGGATTGCAGCTTGACCACACCCCACGGGTGGGTGCTCTCTCCCTCCTTCCCCCAACCCCCACTCCCCATCGCTCTCTGTCAAGCCCATGTGCCCTCTGGCAAATTTTTTTAAAAAGAAAGAAAGAAAACACGAAAGATGCAAGAGGAGAAATTAGAGTTAAAATATTCTACACTTATTCTATTCCTCAATGTGATAATAAGATAATTCACTTACTTTAGACTTGCTGCGTTTTATGCTAAAAATTAAAGGTAGGCGGGGCCAGCAGTTAGCATAATGGCTATGTCGCTGAACTCCCATGTAGTCGACCGCGGTTCGCATCCCGGACCCGGTGGCTTAAAACTCACGCCAGGCGCGTGTGCGTGCGTGCCCAAGATCCCGAGAGGAGAATGAAGGAAAAGGGATTGCGGCGTGGCCATCCCCCCTGGGGGGTGATTTCTTGTTTTCTGTCTCTCTGTCTCTGTTTGTCTGGCGAGCACACGCGCCCTATAGCAAAAAACAAAAACAAAAAAACAAAAAACTTCTCAAAAATAAAAAAAATTAAAGGTATCCAGCTGGTAGCGTGGTAGGTGAGAGGCTGGATCCCACATGGCTGACTGTGTGGTTCAAGTCTTGAACCCGGTGGCTTGAAAACCCCCCCAGGTGCGTGTGCATACGTGGCCAAATCCACAAAGGAGACATGGAAAAGGGACTGCACTGTGACCATGCCCCACGGCAGCAGGGGTGCCGTCTCACTTTCCTCTTTCTCTGTCTCTCTCTGGAGAGCACACGGACCCCTCTAACAAAATTGTAAAAAGTAGTTAAGGATAACCACTAGAAGCAGAGATAAACGTGTAACTTCCAAACACGTACAGAAGAAAAAGAGATAAAATGTCATTACATCCAATCCAAGAGAAGAGAAAGGAGCAAAGGGAACAAATACAATCGTGGCAAATAGGAAATGTTAATTAAGGTGACAGAATATGACGAACATGAAAATGCTCAAACACAGACATTCCCAGACTGAATCTAAAAGCAAAAGCAATCACGTGCTTTTTTAAATAGAGACCTATTTAGTGACTTTCACCATAACGAAAGACTGAAAGCCTTGAGTAGCTTCTCTTGTAAACAACAGGTCAATGGGTCAGATATAAAAAATACCTCATTTTCAGAGCCTCAGACATTGGACAGCAGACTCGGGAGCAGGGAAGTGAATGGCCCAAGCTCTGCCGTGGCCCACTCTGCCTGGGGTGCTTTCTGAAGCAGAGGACGGTGGTCTCACCGGGGTAGGGACTTGAGATTGGGGAAGCGGGTAAGGGAGGGTCTGAAGGAGCTGGCGTTAGTAGGGCAGGGTACAGGAGACGGGGGAACTACGCATAGTACGACCTCCCCTTATGCAAAACTGGGACAGACTACGAAATTTTTTTTTTTTTTTTGGAGAGGTTTTTGCTATAGGGCACATGTGCTTGTCAGACAGACAGAGAGAGACAGAGAGACAGAAAGCGAGAAATCACCCCCAGGGGGGATGGCCACGCTGCAATCCCTTCTCCTCCATTCTTCTCTGGGGATGTTGGGCACACACGCACACGCGCCCGGCGTGAGTTTAAGCCACTGGGTCCAGGACTCAAACCGTGTTCGACTACACGGGAGTCAAGCGATTCGCCAACTGCTATTCCCTACAAATATATATTTTTTCTTTTTCTTTTTCTTTTCTTCTCTTTTTTTTTTCTTTTTGAGAGGTTTTTACTATACTGTGCTTGTCAGACAGACAGAGAGAGACAGAGAGACAGAAAGCGAGAAATCACCCCCCACAGGGAGGATGGTCACACCTCAGTCCTTTCTCCTCCATTCTCCTTTTGGGATCTTGGGCATGCACGCACACACGCCCGGTGTAAGTTTAAGCCACCAGGTCTGGGACTTGAACTGTGGTCGACTACATGGGAGTCCAGCGACATAGCCATTACACCAACTGCTAGTCCCTACAAATATTTTTTTAAAAGTAGATATCGAGGATTTCTGAGAAAGGAAGGTCCTGTGCTTTGGGATGAAAGATCTCAACAGGTTTGGGGGTTCTGAGTGCAGTGGGTGCCTGTGCCCCCTCTTCTGAGAGTCCAGTGAGACTGCAATACGCAGAGTAGAAAAGACAACGAATCTGGGCTGATGGGCCTGGAGCAGCTTCCCAGAGCTTCCCAACGCACAGGCGACGCGGAGCAGTGGGCCGGACCTGAGGACCCCAGCGGGTACAGCTACCAGTGCACAGGCGTCGTAGGCACACCGCGAGGGTGAGTCCTCCCTCATGTTCTGCCCTGCGTCAGGTGAGATCTCCCACGGAAAGAGACCACCCCTGCGAGCTTCCTGTGGAACAGGCCCACTGAGGGATCCCCGCTGCCACTGTGTGGCGAGGACCGCCCAGTCCATCCCCAGAGTCTGAGAGGAAGCCATCATGGTTGAAGCCCCCAAGGCTGGGATGGTTAAACCATAAATGACTCAAGCAAATCCCACCCCGACTCAGGTGTACCCTAAGACTACAGAGTTGTGCACTCCATCGAACGGCCATTACAGAAGAACTGATGTTTCTTTTTGGACGTATCTGAGTGTGTCTGCCATTCACACCCTCCAAGTGTTGCATGAAGAGAAGTCATTAAAGCCGGCCCCTTCCCACTGCTCAGTTAGCACGCTTCCACTGATTTTGCTGTCCTAGCGCCCCTCGCTCCCTCAGTAACGGTACCCCATTTTCTTCTCCTGCTTTCTGTGACCACTGGAGGTGCTTCCAGTCAGAGGGCCACGTGAGGGGACACAGCAGCGGACAGGACACCTGAGGGCTCCTCTCCCAGCATGCACGGCCACAGACCTGCCGGCTGTCGGGGTGCACCATCCCAGAGGCTCGGGAGACACGGCCCAAGATTCCTGCTCCCAAGAGGCCTGCACCTGCTTGGACTCCTCTTGTGCTCCGCTCCTGCCCTGTCCCAGCTGTGCACAGGGGTGGGGTGAGGGGACATCTTACTCTGCGTAGCTTCCCTATCTTTGGCCAGTACCTTCCAGAAATCGCCTTGGCTTCGCTAAGCCAGACCGGTTTCTATTGTCCGTCATCAAAGCAGCCGGGCTGACATGGGATACACCTCTCAGGGCAGAAGCTCAGTGGTGTCCTTTATGTTTCCCAGTGTGGAAGTCACGCAGTCGGCCACGTGCTGGCCTGGGCACTGGCGATTCTTGCCAGAAGGGTCACTTGAGTGAGGCGCACTGATTTATCTGAATGGAAGTCTGTCAACGACCTTTGGGGAAAATGGACCTCCTGGCCTGCTGCCCCGGGCGCCTCCCTCTCTGCCTCTGAGAAGTCTTAGCTCCCCCACCTATCAGCAGCTTGCTTGTTCTTTGTTTATTTTTTTAATTTTTTTATTTTTGGAGAGGTTTTTCGCTATAAGGCACATGCGCTTGCCAGACAGACAGAGAGAGACATAGAGACAGAAAGAGAGAAATCACCCCCCAGGGGGGATGGTCACGCCGCAATCCCTTCTCCTCCACTCTCCTCTCAGGATCCTGGGCATGCACGCACACGCACCCGGCGTGAGTTTTAAGCCACCGGGTCCGGGACGCGAACCATGGTTGACTACCTGGAAGTCCAGCGACATAGCCATTACGCTAACTGCTTGTTCCCTCTTTGTTTATTTTTTGTTTCTTTTTTAAGAGAGGTTTTTGCTATAGGGTGCATGTGTTCACCAGAGAGACAGAGAGATGGAAATTGAGAAATCACCCCCTGTGGGGCGGGGGGCATCTCTTCTCCTCTATTCTCCTTGCAGGATTTTTGGGCATACATGCACACATGCCCAGCGTGAGTTTTAAGTCACCAGGTCCAGGACTCGAACCGTGGTCGGCTACGTAGGAGTCCAGAGATGGAACCATTACGCTATCTGCTGGTCCCCATGCTTGTTCTTTGTTATTCCAGACCTCAGGCTAGCCTGTGTTTTTTTTTTTTTTTTTTTTAGAGGTTTTCACTATAGGGTGCGTGCGCTCGCCAGACAGACAGAGAGAGACAGAGAGACAGAAAGCGAGAAATCACCCCCCAGGGGGGATGGTCACGCCGCAATCCCTTCTCCTCCATTCTCTTCTCGGGATCTTGGGCACACACACACACACGCCCGGCGTGAGTTTTAAGCCACCGGGTCTGGGACGCGAACCGCGGTCGACTACGTGGGAGTCCAGCGACATAGCCATTACGTTAACTGCTGGTCCTGCCCACGTCTTCTTCCCCCGGACCCTCCGCCATCACTAAGGACAGCGCCAGGCTCACCATGGACTGGTGGGTGGATCTGACTCAAGTCTCTCTCCTGATCCACCCCATGTCCACATGCCACGAGATGGTCCCACTGGGTGCAACGGGGCTGGGCTACTCCTGAGGGTGAGCCACGGAGCAATGACAGGGGGCGGTCACTGGAGCTGTGCTGGGGAGGTCCCGGACAACGCCGTGGGAGCTGAGCTCTCAGGCGAGGTGAACCTGGTCATGGGTGAGCCTGGCCCCGTGCCCACCCCTGGAGGCCCAGAAGAGGGCTCCCTGGGCACCACGAGTTACCGTTTCTGCAGGACAGAGACAAACTCTGTGAGTCGGTCCCGCTCCACCTCGGCCGCCTGCCAGAGGGCCTTGATTTCTGTCACGTGTGCCTGCCAGCCTTTGTGTTCAGGGGAGTCTGAGAACCTAGGCCAGGGTGGAGGGCAGAGGGAAGAGGGCAGAGGTCATCTGAAGCCTGGGGACACACTTAGGCCTGCAATGGTGGGAGGGCTGCAAGGATCCTTAGGTGTTCTAAGAGAAAGCCAGAGAGAAGGAGGCAAATCCGGCCCCTCCTGGTCCTCCTCGCCTGGATCCGCGTCAGTCAGGTGTTCCGGGGCCTGCTGGAGGTCCCTAGCCTCACTTAGCTGCTCCGAAGGCAGACCCTGCTGAGACTGGAGTTCTATCGGTACCTTTCTCTGCCCATCCCTGGGGGCTGAAGCAGACTGGCTGCCATGGAGCTGGCACCTAGGGGTCTGTGCTGCCCTGGATCCCCATACAGTCCCTAGGCCTCGCTGCCCTGCCCACGCCAGGCAGGCCCAGTCTGTGTGCTCCTGCCAGCCTGGCCCAGTCCTCCTCTATCTCCTGGCTTGGCCCCATACCCAGTTCACTTCCCTGGAGCCTACACTCTTGGCTTGGTGACTTGGTCTGTCCTCCCCCTGCCATTACGGCTCTCCTGCTTACCAACCCCTCAACCTGGTGGCTGGGGCCAGGATGAGACTGGTCTGCCTGCCAAGACCCCCGAGCCTGTATGGGAGTCCCAGCTGCTCTCTGCCATGCCTGGGCCTTTTCCAGGGAGACCCTGGGTGAGCCCGGGCTCGCTCGCCTAGCATGCAGGCGTAGGGAGACTGCGTGGTGGGCAGGGTGTGAGGGCTGGGCTGGAGCACATGGTCCTATAGCTGACTTGCCCTGTGGCCCTGAGCAGGCCCCTTCCTCTCCCCTGGCCCCAGTTCTCCCTGTGAATATCCAGGGGTTAACTGGGATGGGTTCCGAGGTCTGCTGACCCTTCTGGGTTCTGGCTCCTAAATACGTCCTAAGGTCGCTACTCAGTCTGGCCTCTGAATCAGTGGCTTCGCTGTCACCTAGAAGCTGCTGGGCATGCAGACTCCGTCTCCCTCCCAGATCCGCCATGTCAGCACCTGCAGGTGACCTGGCAGATTCGCGGTCTGTGTGCACGCTGCAGCTTGGACGGCCCTTCTCCACTCACCCCTGTGATTCCCGAGTGTGGGGCGTGGAGGAGCGGGAGGAAGGGCTGACCCCGCCCTCCCCACCCCACGCACCCCTATCGGAGTCATCTGAAGGGTGTGGGTGCAACCTGCCAACCCAGTAGCTATCACTCGGAGGGCACTCCTGCCCCACGGAATCTTGCCACAGATGGCGAGGACCGTGAGATGCATGAAGGCAGGCCCATGCGCAGGTGGGTTCAGTAACTGTTTGTGTCTTATGGAAGAATGGGCAGCCTGGACAGCCGCGGAGGTGTGTCTGTGAAGTACAGAGGTCGCAGCCGGGAAGGGACCTTGAGGGGTCGGCTTGTCCACCTTCCTATTCCCACTACTGGGACTAAAACCCAGAGACACGGAGCCCGCCTGCTCTCCCCGTGCTGGGATGAGGCCTCCCCACCCTCAGGAGTGCGGCGTGAGCCCTGTGCACCGTGTCACCCACTCTCCCCCGGGTGCCCTGGTGACCCCAGGCTGGCAGGTGGGGCAGCTGCAGGCTGGCCTTGGCCCGCGGTAGCGCCGTGCTGCCCGAAGGTCAGGCCAGAGTGTCTCAGGTCTTTCCAGGAGACAGCAGCCCAGAACAAGGGCCTACTCGCCCGGAGCCACAGAGTGGGGCAGATAAAGGGCTGGGGCCACTCCGAGGCCTGGCCTGGAACCTGAGCTGACCCGCTCGAGGGGTCAGGGTGTGGGGATGCTGACAGCAGGAGCAGTGTCCAGTGGACAGTGGGCAGGGCCTGGGCAGGGCTTCGGGGCAGGACAAAGCTACCCTTTGTCCCTAAGCTGGCAGTGAGAACAAAGGGCCCATTTAAGCCGCGCTGCTTGGTTTTATCAACAAAGAGGGACCAGAGAGCCGAGGAGTATCAGTGGCTCAAAGTGGGAGCCCTTGTGATGTGGCAGTCTCCCTAGAGACTGGTTCTCAGTAGCAGGAGAAGGCAAGGGAAGGTGCTAGAAGCCAGACTGGGAGGAATCCTCATGTCAACTCTCTGGTAATGGCAGGGAGGGTGCACATAACGGGAGTGGG